GACTGTGATGGAGTTCCTGTGGGCCCAGAAGGTAGGTGGGAGTGGGGATGGCCACACCTCTGTTCACCGAGCGGGTGTAGGGTGTAGTAACAAGAAGAATGTCGTACCTTTTCAGTCTTGCAGGCCCTGAGTGTCCTTCGGGTTGCTGGAAAGCAGAACGTGTTCTTAAGCCCCAGAAATCTGCGAAAGCGCTGTCTCTTTGAATATCCAAAGTAGTCAAGCCTCTTTTTAAACCTTCAAAATGGTGGTGCCCTCTGGACCAGCAAAAGTCCACAGCTCAGCCCACCTTTCTCTTCATCTTCTCCGTTTGTTCCCCAGCCACCGTGCATAGTCCTCCATGCAGTCGCTGGCTAGCAGGGTGATTTTTAGGTTAATTCTTAAGTCCTACCACCACAGGAATCTGTGAGAATGCTGTCTCTTTAAATACCCAAATTAGTCAAGCCACTTTTTAAACCTACAAAATGGCGGCACCCTCCGGACCTTCAAAAGTCCACAGCTCGGCCCACCTTTCTCTACACCTTCTCTGTTTGTTTCCCAGCCACTGTGCACAGTCCTCTGTGCAGACCCTGGCTAGCAGGGTGATTTTTGGGTTAATTCTTAGGTCCTACCACCACTCAGGAATCTCCAAGCCGTGTCGTCTATGCCATCAGGGTTGCTCAGGTCACTGCCAGACTGCAGCTCCGTGTGTCTCTTTTTTTGGTATTTTCACACAAATTCTTCTGCTAGTTGGGGTTTAGTCCACTTTTGTATCCTTCCCTTCAAGGCTCAGGGGTCCAAGATTATCTTCTGTGTCTGTGTTAATTGGTTTCCTTTTTCTTTGTTGAAGAGGGTCTGTGCAGTCCTTCTGCCTAGTCCTCCATGTTGCCGGAACTCCATCTCCATCATTCTTTCTGTCTCTCTGTGTCTCTTCTCTTTTAAAAGAATACCCCCTCGGATTGGATTATGACCACGTTACTCCAGTATAAGGAGCCCTGGTGGTGCAACAGTTTGCTAACCTAAGGGCTGGGGGTTCAAACTCACCCAGTGGCTCTGTGGAAAAAAGACCTGGTGATATGCTCCCATAAGGATTACAGTCTAGAAAACCCTATGGAGCAATTCTCTGTCACGTGGGGTTGCAATGAATCAGAACTGACTTACCAACATCTAAGAACAACTACTGCAGTATGACTTCATGCTGACTGATAACATTTTCAAAGGCCCTATTTCCAAACAAAGTACCAGGGGTTAGGACTGCAAGATATCTTTTGGGAGGGACACAATCCATAACAGCTACCAAGCCAGCTGCTCAATATGACTGGGAAATAGTGCAAATCAAGAGCCTCATCAACCCACCTGAGGGCCAAGGAAACTGGGGTCTTTATATTTAACTCTTCAGAGCCATTGGTTGAATGCTGCTGGGGGTGGGAGCTTGTTGTTGTTGTTGTTATGGGCCATCAAGTCAGACCTGATTCATAGTGACCCCTCCTTGGGTTTTCGAGGCAGTATCACTATGGAAGTAGATTGGCCAACCTTCCTTCTGAGGAGTGGCTGGTGGGTTTGAACCAGCCTTCTGGTTAGCAGTGAAGTGCCTTAGGCACTATGCTACCAGAGCTCCTGGGGGTGGGGGCAGGACTGTTAATTCCATAGCACTTCTAGTCTGCCACACCTGGCCTTCTGCAGCCTTCAGGCTAAAGATGCAGAGGCTGACAGTTGGAAATTGCCTGAAGGGCACTGAAGGACATCCATTATGTTCAGCATGTGCACTATAAATACCTATAATTTTTTTCTTTTTTCCATTATGGCTTTTCCCTTTCCTCCTGCATACAGACATAGGTCTGCAAATTTCTGTACTTTCTAAATCTGACTGATATTGATCTTTTAAAATAAAAGTAGAATAGATATTATTAGCTAGTGCTTTTATTGACATCAAAGCATAACAAAGTCCTTCTGCTCATCCTTACCTGCTATCATTTCCCTCTTTCCCTTTCCTTTGTTGGAGCCAATGCCACACAGGCAAGGTCCCTCTTCAACTACTGTCCAGTGCTCTACTGTTCTTTATTGCCCAGTGGACTGCATGTCTGGATCATAAGCTGTCCCATCTTTTCTGTCCTGACCAGGGGAGTTCCTGAACCGCATGTTCACTGAAGAGAGATTCCCCAAAGACTCTGAGATGGAGAAATGCAATGACTATGACTCCATAGAGGTACCAGCCAATTACACAGGGCCACATCTCTCTTTCCCACTCCTTCCGGACCACGCAACTGCCCTAGTTGAAGCTTTCAGACTGAAACAAGTAAGCTCCCTTGGGGAACGTGGGAATCTAGGTCACTACCAACTCCACGTAGTGCATAGAGGGGGACAAAACTGGAGCAATGGCCCAGGATTAAAGTTTTTCATGTCATCTGTCCACTATGGAGAGATTCCATTTCCTCTCTGCTCAGCCAGGCCAATCAGCTGTTTTTTTAAATCACTGGAAAACTTCTAATCATGTAGTCTCTAATTGTTAATTCACATCACAGATAATACTGAGCACTGCATTGTGCAAGCACTGGGGAGATAGCAATGAACCAAATAGGCACAATCCCTGCCCTTATGGGGCTGCCATTGTAATGAGAAAACAGATAAGAAATAGCAAATTTAAAAAAAAAATAGCAAATTAAAACAAATAAGGAAATTATGTAGTGTATTTAGAAGGTGATGTTGTTGTCGTTGTTATGTGCCGTCGAGTCACCCCCGACTCATAGCAACTTCTCCTTGGGTTTCCGAGGCAGTATCACTATGGAAGTAGATTGCCCCATCTTCCTTCCGAGGAGTGGCTGGTGGGTTTGAACCACCAGCCTTCTGGTTAGCAGTCAAGTGCCTTAGGCACTATGCTACCAGAGCTCCTTTAGAAGGTAATAAGAGCTATAAAAAAGAATAAACTAAGTTGTGAGTGAGGGAGATAGCAATTTTATAAAGAGTGGTTCAGGAAGTCATCCCTGAGAAGGTGATTTCTGAGTCAAGGCTGAAGTCTGAGGGAATGGGTCCTGTGGGTATCTGAGGGAAGAGTGTCTCAGGCAGAGGTTACAAACACAGAGGCCCTGAGGCAACAACTTGCTTGACCTGCTCCTGGACAACAGCACAGACAGTGTAGCTGGAGAGGAGGGAACCAGGGGAGAGTAGCAGGAGATAGAGGCAGAGAGGTGACAGAGATGGACTCATTCTTCTGAAAGAGATGGGAAGATGGTGGACACTAAGCACAGGAGTGTTGTAATCTAGCTTGCTTTTTTTTTTTTTTTTTTAATTGTGATTTGGGTGAGAGTTTACAGAGCAAATTCACTTTCCATACAGCAGTTCACATATACTTTGTCTCATGACATTGACTACAATTTACCACAAAGGCAACAGCTCCCCTCCCACTTCCTCCCCATAGTTACCTCTTCCCTGTGTCCTTCCCTCCATACACTCCTGCCCTCTAAGCTGGCTCCCTGTGCATACACAGCCCTTCTTTCTCCCATGATTTTTCTCTCCACGGAGTGTATCTACCTTCTAGCTTGCTTTTTAAAAGAGTCATTCTGTGGAATAGTATGCAATACTAAATAATAATATAGAATCTGCAAAACGCCACATAATATGGATGAACTTGGAGGATGTTATGCTGAGTGAAATAAGTCAATCACAGAAGGACAAATACTGTATTAGTTCATTATTGTAAGAAGTCAAGGAAAAGTTTATATATGGAAGGAAATTTTCTTTGTTGGTTACCAGGGGTGGGAAGGGAGGGGAGGGAACACTGCAAAAATAAAATAAAATAAAGAATAATTCTGGTTGCTGGTTAAGAGTCTAGGGGGCAGGGAGACCAGTCAGGAGACTGCTGCAATAGTCCAGGTGAAAGATGATGGTAGCTTGAAACCCTGGTGGCTGAAAGATGATGGTAGCTTGAAACCCTGAGACATGACATGATGAAAAGTGGTCAGATCCTAGCTCAAAGCGAGACACGGCCCTCCACCCAGCCACACGAAGATATTAAGATAATTAACTACAGGAAAAACTCTGATGATATTTTCTCGTAATGTCAGAATCACTCAGTACCATCAACATCCATGAACTTATTTATAGCTCACTGAAGTAATTGTGTTTCCCCCAAGCTAAGTCAAGGTAGAGTTTATAGAGTGGATGGAAAAGAGGACGTTAGTTCAGTACTGAAACCAAAAAACCAAACTCACTGCCATTGAGTTGATTCTGACTCAGTGACCCCCTTTGGGTTTACAAGGCTGTAAATCTTTACCTAAGCAGACCACCCCATCTTTCTTCTACTGAGTCACTGGTGGGTTCAAAGCACCAACCTTTTTGTTTAGCAGCCAAATGCCTTAACAACTATGCCAGAAGAGCTCCTTAGTTCAGTACTTAGGAGAAGGACAAATGGGGAGGCTGAAAAACTGAAAAAAAGGCAGAAGATGGTGAAAAAGAAAGGAACATTGAGTAGGGTCTCAGAAGCAGTTCACTAGGGTTACTATTTTTTTTTTTTTTTAAATAGTTTTAGCTTATTTTTAGTTATGTACGAGAGCTCTATGAGTTGGGTCCGATGGCATATAACAACAACAACAGGAGCTCTGGTGGTGTAGTGTCTAAGGCATTTGATTGCTAACCAGAAAGCTGGTGGTTCAAATCCACCAGCCACTCCTCAGAAGGAAGGTTGGGCAATCTACTTCTATAGTGATACCACCTCGGAAAACCAAGGACAGGCCATGATGAGTTGGATACGACTTGATGGTAGTGAGTTTTAGTTTTTTTTAAAAATCTGTCTACATACCCATCTATTTATTTATTTAATTGTGGTAAATATATAAGGAAACAAACCATTTGCCATTTTAACATTACTAACATGTACAATTCAGTGACTAATTACATTTATCATGTTGTTCAATCACCTTAGGGTCTTGAGTGACTGGGGTCATTAAGCAATAAAGGTGAGGCCCATCTTCCCTCATAAACATCAGTGTTGTTTTGTTCCTTCCCTACTCTTCCTCCTAGTAGCAGCTCCATGCTCGCTATGTCCTGAATCTTTTGCATGAAACCAGGAAGCACCTCAGACAGCTGCCAAACATCAACAGGGTCTCAACCTGTTACAGCGAGGAGATCACAGTGTGTGGTAAGGTCTGGTCAGAAATGGGCTTGTATCCTAGACACAAACAAGAAAACCCTGCCTGTGGTTGGGGGAAGAGAAAAAGTCAGACTAGAGGGAAAGATGATGACAGCTTGAACATGCAAGTTTCATCCCAGCAAATGCATAGAATTTAAATACTGTATGTTTAAACAAATAACATGTTTGTATACTAGCCGCTCCCGCCCTTTCCCCTCCAGATATTTTCATAAGAGCCTGTGGCCCCCCCCCCCCTTTTTAAATGAAATGTTCCTGTGAAAAAATCAGCACAGCACCTTTAGAAAAATACCACCCAGGGAGAGGGAGCAGCTGGCAAGCAAATGTAAAAGATGTATGTTATTTGCATAAGAATATGGTATTTGTTCTATATTTACTTAAGAGATTGTGTGGTGAAGAACATACAGAGAAGGAGGACCCAGCCTGGTTTTGTTTTTCCAAGCAAATCAGATTTGACCTCAAATTCATGCTTTCCATTCAGGAGAACTAAAGCCCTAGATGATGCAAACAGTTTAGCTCAGCTGCTAACCAAAAGGTTGCTGGTGTGAGTCCACCCAGACACGCCTTGGAAGAAAGTCCTGGTGATCTACTTTAGAAAACTCAGCCATAGAAAACCCTGTGGAACACTGTTCTATTCTGACACTCACGGGGCTGCCATGAGTCAGAGGTGATGTGATGGCAACCGGTAGTGGTGATGGTTCCCTTTTTAGAAGACAGTTTGTTTATTCTTACTTGAGCAAGCCCAACACCAAGCAAATTATTTCTTCTGTTCACATATATCCTTCCAGAGAAAACTCCTGTCGATGACAATTTTCTCCATCACCTTATGTTTTCAGTGATGTTTAAACGTCCATAGACTGATGCCCCCAGAGTAGGGAGGCTGCAGTACACCAAGGATTGCAAATTGGCACTTCTAGGGTGGCATTAAAAATAAACGTTACTGTTGAATCAACTCGGACTCATGTTGTATTGTTAAGTGTCATTGGATTGGCTCTGACTCATAGAGACCCTATGTACAACAGAATGAAACACTGGCCAGTGGGACTTATGGCAACCCCATATACGTCAGAGTAGAGCTGTGCTCCAGAGGGTTTTTAATGGCTGAGTTTTTGGAAGTAGACCACCAGGTCTTTCTTCAGAGGCATTTCTATGGGATTCCAACCATCAACTTTTTGGTTAGAAATCTGAGTATTAACCATTCGCACCACCCAGGGAGTCTGTTCTGGTTTCCTAGACCTGCTCTGATAAGAATATATGCCACAAATGGGATGGCTCAAACAAACAGGAGTTAGTTCTCTTACAATTCAGGAGGGTAGAAGTCCGAGTTCAAAGTGCCAGGTGCTAGGGGCTGTGTGAAAGCCCCTCAACCTTGGGCTTCAGCCCTGCCTCTTGCTCCTGGCCCACTGAAGCTAGAGGCTCAGGCAGCTACTGGCTGCTAAGGCTAACAAGCCCAAGGTTGACAAATAAAATGGCACAGTCCCGATGTTATCAAACCACACGGCACGCCATTAATTCAAGTCCATTGAAAGTCCCAAGGTTGGCAGAACATGGCAGGCTGCCGAACAATGACACGGCTACATGCAGGGTTCAAGCATGCTGTAAGCTAGAGACCATTCCCAAAGCTGTTTCTTATATACAGGAAGCAGACCACATACCCAAAGCAGCTACTCAGCTGTTCCAGTAGATTCCACCATGGAGTTAATTACCAATCTCACCATGGGGAATAACTACATTCATCTGCCCAGCCACTTAACCAGGCCTAGCCAAGTAGACACACAAACGTAACCACCACAGACTCCACTGAAAAAAAAACAAAAAAACTCACTGGCACTGAGTCTATTTGACTCATAGTGACCCCTCCTTGGGTTTCCAAGGCAATATCACTACAGATTTGGGTCTGACTCGATGGCACATAACAACAACAATAATCACTATGGAAGTAGATTGCCCAGTCTTCCTTCCGAGGAATGGCTGGTGGGTTTGAACCACCAGCCTTCTGGTTAGTAGTCAAATGCTTTAGGCACTATGTATGGCACTAGAGCTCAATATAGACTATAAATATATTCTGTTTGCCCCACAGTGTTCTTAAATTTTAAATTATTTTCCAACATTGAGAATTGGAGGATTTCATATTAAAATGCAGACTTCCAACTTCTCTTGAAAATTCTGGCAATACTGGTCCATGTTCCTGTGTGGCAACATTTGGTTACAAGTGAAGAACAGCTTCTCCTTGGTTGTGGTTGTTGGTAGGTGCTGTCGAGCCAGTTCCAACTCATAGTACAACAAAATGAAACGCTGCCTGGTCCTGCACCATTATCGCAATCATTGCTACGTTTGAGCCCATTGTTGCAGCCACTGTGTTAGCACATCTCACTAAGGGTCTTCCTCTTTTCTGCTGACTCTCTACTTTACCAAACATGATGTCCTTCTCTAGGAAACGGTCTCTCCTGATAACACGACTGAAGTAGGTGAGAGGAGCATTGTGGCTGTACTTCTTCCAAGACAGAGTTTTTTGTTCTTCTAGCAGTCTATGGTATATTCAATATTCTTTTTCAACACCATAATTCAAAGACATCAATTGTTCGATCTTCCTTATTCATTATCTAGCTTTTGCATGCATATGAGGCAATTGAAAATATCATGGCTTGGGTCTGGTGCACCTTAGTCTTCAAAATGACATCTTTGCTCTTTGACACTTTAAAAGGGTCATTTGCAACAGATTTGTCCAATGCAATATGCTATTTGATTTCTTGACTAATGCTTCCACGGGTGTTGATTGTGGATCCAAGTAAAATGAAATCTTTGACAACTTCAATCTTTTCTGTATATATTGTGATGTTGCTTATTGATCCAGTTGTGAGGATTTTTGTTTTCTTTATGTTGAAGTGTAATCCATACTGAAGGCTGTAGTCTTTGATCTTCATCAATAATTGCTTCAAGTCCTCTTTGCTTTTAGGAAGCAAGATTGTGTAATCTGCTTCTTGAAGGTTGTTAATGGGTCTTCCTCCAATTCTGATACTGTGTTCTTCTTCATATAGTCCAGCTTCTCAGATTATCTGCTCAGCATCCAGATTGAATTAGAGTCATGAAAGGATACAACCCTGATATACACCCTTACTGATTTTAAACCATGCAGTATTCCCTTTTTCTTTTTAAATGGGGTAAAATCTCTCAAGTTTCCATCTGAATTTGTAACCCTGCATTATTCTGTTCCATCTTGCCTCAGTAAAAATACAGGCCATTTGCTGTTTATGGTAAAATAAACAGTAAATGTGCAGAAATATGCAGAAAATATTGTGCTTCCAAAAAAATATGCTTTCTAAAAAATTGACAATGAATGCAATAAGACATATTAACATGTGCCTCTATCTTACATGAAAATGAATAACTGTTTCTCAACTTTTTCAGGTTTTTCAGTGTATTTTCCTTCTCATAGTAAATAAGAAAACAGTGATAAGCTGTTCAGAACTGATACTTTGTTTTGTCTTCGTTAGGAGATTTACATGGCCAGTTGGATGACTTAATATTTATATTTTATAAGGTATGAATGTTCAAATTTAGTTTCTTTTTTGCTCTGGGACTTAATTTAGAAATTCAAATAATGTATCTATTAAATAAATGCTTAAGTATTGCTTGGATTTCAAAGATATTATTACAACCTATATAGCAAATACATAACATAAAAGTCAGCACTGCCTCGTATTCTAGTATATTTTCGAAAACTGTTTAACAGATATGAGATCTAGGTTAATAAGCAGAAGGCATCATTTCTAAGCTGCTGATTTTCTTTTTTCTCAAACACATAAATGGATTATTATCCAAGTGACCTAAAATTATTTTCATATCCATTTTTAGTTGTAAAATGTAGAGCATGTAGCAAAACATATGAACATAAAAATAATATTTTATTATTGTAAAACTACTTTAGAGAGAATAATAGTGCAGTGGTTAAAGTACTTGGCTGCTAACCAAAAAGTTGGCAGTTTGAATCCACCAGCCACTCTGCGGGAGAAAGATGAAGCAGTCTGTTTCCATTAAGACTTACAGACTTGGAAATCCTATGGGGCACTATGAGTACTATGAGTCAGAATTGACTTAATGACGATGAGTTTGGTTTTGAGTTTGTTAATATAACTTTAAGGAGCCCTGGTGGTCCAGTGGTTAAGTGCTTGGCTGCTAAGAGAAATGTCAGTGGTTTGAATCTACCAGCTGTTCTGGAGGAGAAAGATGTGGCAGTCTGTTACTATAATGATTACACTCTGGAAACCCTATGAGGCAGTTCTGCTCCTCTGTTCTTTAGGATCGGTATGAGTCTGAATCAACTTGATGGCAATAGGAATATTACTTTATGTCTATTGTGCACTTCTCAAACCATTTTCCCGTGTGTGATCTTGTTTAATTCTGAGGAATCTATAGCAGCTAATGTTATTCTTGCTAGTTAAAGGCAGTGTGGTCAGGACTTAAAATTGGCCTTCAGATCACAAGTTCAGTGCTCTTTGTGCCACACTGCAAAATTTTGGTTTTTTATGAAGCACAACATCTCATAACCTCAGCTTGGCTAGACAGGCAATCTAAGACGAGTAGGAAATATTTCTATCTTTTATTGACATTTTGAAGGAGACCCAGAAAACACAGAATAGGTATTAGACCAGATGTGACAGTCAGATGTGAACTGGCTTTAACCAGATTTCCTATTCCATTGTGGACTCCTGTTTGGCTTATTTTCTTGATGGGAAGAATGGCCTTCCGTCGCCAGAGCGGGCCTACGTGTTCAACGGTGACTTTGTGGATCGAGGCAAGGATTCAGTAGAGATCCTGATGGTTCTCTTTGCCTTCATGTTGGTTTACCCAAAAGAGTTCCATCTTAATCGAGGAAACCATGAGGACCATATGGTGAACTTACGGTACAAAAATCATCCTTAGTATTTGATGTTTGCTCATAGTGATTGTAAAAATTTATTTCTCCACAGCACTGGTAGCACAGTGCTTAAGGCATCTGACTGCTAACCAGAAGGTTGATGGTTCAAATCCACCAGCCACTCTGTGTAAGGAAGGCTGGGCAATCTACTTCTGTAAGGATTTACTGCCTCAGAGACCCAATGGGGGTCTCTATGAGTCAGAATCAACTTGATGGCAGTGTGTTTGGTTTGGTTTGGTTTTTAAAGAAAATTTTTAATTTTTTAAAGTAGAATACAAATATATCAACATTAAAGAAAAAGATTTAAATTTTTTTACACATTATTCTACTATTCCAATAAAACTGCTTAATATTTTCCTACATTATCTATACTTATAGAAAAAGTAGGAAGTTCAGATAGGCAAAAGGAAAAAAATAGATAATATCCCATAATTTCTCTACCCAGAGATAATGTCATTATTGTAAACATTTTTGTGATTAGTCATAGTTTTGGGTGATTATTCTTCAGACCCTTTTCTATATATTTAAATACATATATAGAGAGAATATGTATCTTTAATAAAATATGATCATGTCATAACTATTGTCATTATATTTATTTTAATATCTATTTTTGCTTCTAAATCTAGATATGGCTTCACCAAGGAAGTGATGTATAAATATAAGGTACACTGCTTTTCAAAGAAAAAATTTCTCTTAGTTCAAATACATTAATTAAACTATTTGAAACTTAACATCATGTTAATATATTTTTTTTTTCCAGATACATGGAAAGAAAATACTGAAAACACTGCAAGATGTTTTCTGTTGGCTTCCGCTGGCCACTCTGGTTGATGAGAAAGTCCTGATTCTTCATGGTGGTGTATCAGATGTGACTGACCTGGAACTTCTAGCTAAACTGGACAGGCACAAGGTATTTTTTAAAAAATATATTTTTTTGAAATATAATTTATGTACAGTGAAACACACAAAACTAAAGTGACATGAGTCAATGCATTTTTTTTTTTCAGTGTTCCCTCCCTTCCCCCGCCTCCCATCCCTGGTAACCAACAAAGAAACTTTCCTTCCATACATAAACCTTTCCTGACTTTTTGTAACAATGAACTAATACTATATTTGTCCTTCTGTGATTGATTTATTTCACTCAGCATACTGTCCTCCAAGTTCATCCATGCTATGTGGTATTTTACAGATTCGACATTATTCTTTAGTGTTGTGTAGTATTCCATTGTGTATATGTACCATAGTTTAGTTATCCATTCTTCTGTTGATGGGAACCTAGGTTGTTTCCATCTTTTTTGCTATTGTAAATAGTGCAGTGATGAACATGAGTGTGCATATACCTATTCTTGTCCTGGCTCTCACTTCTTTAGGCTATATACCTAGTAATGGGATTGCTGGGTCAAATGGTATTTCTAATTCCAGCTTTTTAAGGAATTGCCATACTGCTTTCCCCAGTGGTTGTATCATTTTACAGTCCCACTAGCAGTGTCTGAGAGTCCCAATCACTCCATATCCTCCCCAGCACAGGCACAATATATTGACTGAGGAATAAAACAATGCAAAATTCACTATCATGTCCAGTTTCCCTGACAACATGAAATAAATTTCATCTTGTATCTGACTTTAGTTGACTGATACTAGCTGCTAGGAATGTAGAGGATTGAGAATTCCCATCTGGACTCAGGGGGCAAGTGTGTTGTGATCAGTCAGTGATGTCTGCCATGCATATGATAGTAAGGAATGGCCACTAGTACCATGTATTTGTCACCCTTGACCTAGATAATTCTAACCACTACTTCTCAATTATTGTCACATGAAAAGCCTACATTTCCCAAATAATTTATAACATCTTCAATTAAACTCAAATGTGTATTAAATACCTACTATGTACAGGAAAGTTGCTATGAGCAGATACAAAGATGAAGATAAATTTTAATTAAATTTAACATATATGTTTTCAGTGCTTATTTTATGCAAGGGAGATACTGGGAGAGATACAAAGATGGCCTGGAGATGGTGCCTGCCCAAAGGGAATTTTTCATCCTCTAGGGGTGAGAGGTTGGGGAAATGTGAGACAGATATATTATTCCCAAATACCGATGTCTCAATTTTCTGTTTCATTTTCGAAGTGGAAACCTAGAAAGCAAAAAAATCTGTTTTCTTACAGTTGAATGATAACTTTTGGCCTCTGTATTCTAATGGCTCACCCCACGCAGGAATCCCTGCTATAACATCCTTGCCAGCATTTGCCCATACACTTCCAAAGACAGGGAGGTCATTGCCATACAAGCCAATCTATTTCATTTCCAGGCAACTGTAACTGATGTCAAAGTCTGTGTTAGATGATATATAAAGATCATGGCTATAGAGTCAGAGAGACTTGGATTTGAATCTTAGAATATATAGTTCTTGGCTGATATGGCAGTTTTGTACCATTAGGTTGTTCAGGGACCCAGACTTCTTATGCCTTGTCACTCTGCCACCCCTAGGGTGTCATCCTATGCCCTCCTTTGTATGGCTTAAGATAGCTTGTCACAACATGTGGGTTCCAAGCAATAGGATAGAGGCAGGATGGGAAGAAGAGTATATCTACCCTTAAAGATAGAATTTAATCTTTAAAAAAACAAAGTGTATATATATCTCTGCACTCATCCTATTGGTCAAAAAGTGATTACATACTTGCTGGAAGGGAGACTGATAATGCAGTTTTTTTTTTTTTTTTTTTATGATTGGCCATGTGCCCAACAAAAATCCTGGGTTTCTGTACCTGCAAGAGAAGAGAGTGAATCAAATTTTGGGTGAATAGTACTCTTTGCCACATATATTCGAGTATGGAATTTTTTCCTTTATTCCCCTATGTAGGTATGGTAAATGGTTAACCCATGGCCAATGATGTCAGATAGAAATGGATAAATGGTTTTGCTATTTATAGATTTGTGACCTTTGACCATTTATTTAATTTTTGTAACAGGGATATGAATAACTATATCATACAGATGTGAGAATTAAATAAAAAGATATGTGCACATGCCTTATAAAATTTGTAGTCGATAAATGGAAATTATACTGATAAGGTTTTGCTGAAGTGATAGAAAATTCCAAATAACAGTGGCTTAATGTTTATTTCTTTTTCATGTAAATAAAGAGCTGGAATAGTGATGTCTCAAAGGTGTTAGGGACTCAGACTCCGCTATCTTGCTGCTCCACCATGTATGTCCTGGTCTAAGATGGCTGCTTGAGCTCTAGCCATCAAGCCCACATTCTAGCCAGCAGCAATTAGGATGAGTAGAAGAAAGGCATGGGTCTTCCCTTTTAAGATGTTTGTTGTTGTTGTTGTTATGTGCCGTCGAGTCGGACCCGACTCATAGCGACCCCTCCTTGGGTTTCCGAGGCAGTATCACTACAGAAGTAGATTGCTCCATCCTCCTTCCGAGGAGTGGCTGGTGGGTTTGAACCACCAGCCTTCTGGTTAGCAGTCAAGTACCTTTAGGCACTACGCTACCAGAGCTCCTGTACGTTGTTCAGTTACACACAAAATTTATTTCCATAACTAATGAATTGACCAGAATTTAGTCATACATACAAACTTAGCTGAAAGGGAGATTGGAAAATATAGTCTTCATTCTGGGTCAAGTAAGAATCAGAGGTTCCATTATTAAAGAAGAAGGGTAGGCAGATGTTATGGTAGCAACACTCTCTCTTGATCTGCCCCTTCGGCTCCCAGGTTTCCATGCACACCCTTCTTCTTATCCTCAGCACATGCTCATTTCCTCCCTAAAGGTAAACTACCCTCAAGTCTCATGCAGTAATTGCATCTACCTCAAAGTCCAAGGTTTCTGGACTCAAGTCCTGTCTATTAGATATGGACATAGCTTATTGTGGTCTGATAACTAAAAGGCAAATTATGTGTCCCCGCATAAGAAATTCAGTGTTGGAAGAGGGAAAAGATAATTCTTGGGGGGGTAGGCTGGTTTAGGGCTGATCTGCAACATTTTCAATGACTCTCCCCCCCCCCAAAAAATATATATATATATATATTTTTACAAATTGCTTTCTCTACATCTCCACACTCCCAACCCTTTCATATTGCTGAAGTCAGTGTGGCACCCAAGAGCTCAAAAATGAGTTCTTTTTTCTTGATCAGTTCTCCATGTCCTGCACCTCATTTTTCCCCCCTTTTTACTTCTACATAATTGCATCTTGGTGTTTCTCACAAACTTTCAGTTCAAACATCTGTTCAGCTCTGTCTGTGCCTGGAGGTAGAGACAGTAGGTCATGGTAGAACAGATGATATTATGCAAAGAATCACATTCAATTTTCTAGACATAAGAGAAATAGGAAATTTGGAAAAGAGTTGTAAAGAACAGCTTATTTTCTGTGGCTTAGCAAAGCTCCAGAGAGGGGTGTTTGTACTAATTTGTACAGAGTCCAGGAAACATGTGGGAAGGGTGTATAGAGAACTATGGGCTTTGGAGTCAGACTATCTGAATCCAGTCCTGGTACAGTCTCAGTGAGGTAAGTGGTGGTTCAGTGGTAGAATTCTTGTCTTCCTTGCTAAAGACCCAGATGCTATTTCTAACCAGGGCACTTCAAGTGCAGCCCAAACCCATCTGTCAGGGAAGCCTTGTGTGTTTCTATGATGTTGAACAGGTTTCAGCAGAGTTTGCAGACTAAGACAGACTAGGAAGAAATGCTGGATGTTCTGCTTCTGAAAAAATCAATCAGTCAAACTCCTATGGATCCCAACAGTCAATCCCATTGTGCATGAGGTTGCCATGAGTTGAGGGCCAACTCACTGACAGCTAACAACAACAATAACACTCTTAATATTTCTGTGACTCAATTTTCTTATTTTATGGCATAATGGAGTGTGCAAAGACCTGGAGTTAGAAAGCCAAAAGAGAAGAATACACTCAGCTTTTCTCAAACTGAAAGAACTGAAGAAAAAGTCAAGCCTCATATTGCAATATTGAAGGATTCTATGGGCAAAATATTCAATAATGCAGGAAGCATCAAAAGAAGATTGAAGGAATATGCAGAGTCACTGTACCAAAAAGAATTGGTCAGTGTTCAACTATCTCAGGAGGTGGCATATAATCAAGAACCAATGGCACGGAAGGAAGAAATCCTAGCTGCACAGAAGGAATTGGTGAAAAACAAAGCTCCAGGAATTAACAGAATACCCACTGAGATGTTTCAACAAATGGATGCAGCACTGAAGGCACTCACTTATTTATGCCAAGAAATTTGGAAGACAGCTACCTGGCCAGTCGACTGGAAGAGATCTATATATGGGGCCATTCCAAAGAAAGATGATCCAATGGAATGTGGAAATCATCAAACAATGTCATTAATATCACATATAAGTAAAATTTTGCTGAAGATAATTTTAAAAACAGTTGCAGCAGTCTATACACAGAAAACATCCAGAGATTCAAGCTGGATTCTGAAGAGGACATGGAACAAGGGATATCACTGCTGATGTCAGATGGATCTTGGCTGAAAACAAAGAATACCAGAAAGGTGTTTACCTATGTTATATTGACTATGCAAAGGCATTCAACTATGGATCATAACAAATTACGGATAACATTGTGAGGGATGGGAATTCCAGACCTACTTGTGCTTATGAGGAACCTGTACATAGACCAAGAGGCTGTTATTCAAACAGAACAAGGCATTACTGCATGGTTTAAAATCAGGAAGGGTGTGCATCAGGGTTGTATCCTTTCACCATACTTATTCAATCTGTATGCTGAGCAAATAATGTGAGAAGCTGGACTATATGAAGAAGAATGCTGCATCAGGATCAAAGGAAGACTCATTAACAACCTGCAATATGCAGATGACACAACCTTGCTTACGGAAAGTGAAGATGACTTGAAGCACTTACTGATGAAGATCAAAGACTGTAGTCTTTGGTATGGATTACACCTCGACATAAAGAAGACAAAAATCCTCACAACTGGATTAATATGCAACATTAAGATAAATGGAGAAAAGACTGACATTGTCAGGACTTTTATTTTACTTGGATCTGCAATCAATACTGATGGAAATGGCTGTCAAGAGATTAGATGTTGTATTACACTGGGCTAATTTCCTGCAAAAGACCTCTTTGAAGTGTTAAGGAGCAAAGACATCACTTTGAAGATTTAGGTGTGCCTACCCCAAGCCACGGTATTTCAATTGTCTCATATGCATGTGAAAGCTGGGCAATAAGTAAGGAAGACCAAAGAAGACTTGATGCCTTTGTTTTGAGATATTGGGGAAGAATATTGAACATACCATGGACTGCCAAAAGAACAAACATATCTGCCCTGGAAGAAGTGCAGCCAGAGTGTTCCTTAGAAGCAAGAATTGCTAGACTTCATCTCACCTACTTTGGTCATGTTGTCAGAAGGAACCAGTCCCTGGAAAAGGACATCATGATTGGAAAAACAGATGGTCAGCCAAAGAGGGCAAGACTCTCTACCAGATGGATTGACATAGTAACTGCAGTGATGGGCTCAAGTATAGCAAGGATTGCATGGATGGTGCAGTACAGGACAGTGTTTTGTTCTATTGCACCTAGGGTTGCTAAGAGTTGGAACCTGCTAGATGGCACCTAACAATAAAAATATGTCTATAAGGATGCTATCTCATGGGGGTGGTGTGAGGGTTAATCAATTCATGTAAAGTGCCTAGAATAGTATCTGACATTTGAAAAGGGCACAATAAATACTAGTTTTATTCTCCTTAATTATTAAAGTTAGGGATGTCTCTTGGGGAAGATAATAATGTCCTTCAAAAAAATTACCTGAGAGTAGAAAGAGGTGGGATTAGTAGGCTGACAACATCAAGAGTTGACATGGAGAAAAGGTAGTGGTTATGAGTCAGTTCAGAGTTAATTTCTTGACCTTTTACTCTTAGTATTCAGACTGGAATTGCCTAGGAAGTAATTAGCACTTCCAATGTTAGAGACTATCCTTTGTTCTGTTTTCATTTTGTATAGATTCCTCTTCTACATCATTCAGGCTATGCTGACCCTTTCTGCTCTGGGTGTCTTTTGTTCTTGCCCTAAGCCAGTCTACACTGGGACATGGCTTTCTTTCTTTCTCTCTCTTTTTAAACTTTTTATTGTGATTTGAATGAAAATTTACAGAACAAATCAGTTTCCTTTTCAATCATTCATACACATTTTGTTTCTTGTCATTTACTACAGTGCCCACAATGTAACATCATGCACCCTACTTCCTCCTTGCGTTCTCTGTTTCCATTTTTCCTTCCTTGCTGTCCCTTCCTGCCTTCTGAATTTTGTCCTTGGGCAAGTATACTGCCCTTTTGATCTTGAATGGTTTATTGTTCTAAGGAGTTCCTACCTCCCTCATGTTATTGTTTGTCTTATAGACCTGTGTACTGTTTGGCTGAACACTGAGCCAAGGGGGTAAGTTCAGTTCCAGGCTTGAAGGGTGACTAAGAGACATAGTCTTGAGGGTTTCAGCAGTCTCTTTCTGACCAGTGAGCTTGATCTTTTTTTTTTTTTTTTTAATTAATGAGTTTTGTTCCACATTTTTCTCCCACTCTATCCAGGATCTTCTAATCTGATCTCTTTCAAAGCAATTGGTAGTGGTAGTGGGGCACTATCTAGTTCTTCTGGTCTCAGGGTTGTGAAAGCTGAGGTTCACATGGTCCCTTAGTCCTTTGAATGTTTCTATGCATCTCTGATTTTCTTCATTCTTCTTAGCTCTAGATGGGGAGAGACCAATAATTGCACCTAGATGGCTGCTCATAATCTTTTAAGATCCCAGTTGTTACTCACCAAATTAGGATGTAGAACATCTTCTTTGTGGACTCTGTTGTGTCACTTGAACTTGAGATTGTGTTCCTGACACTCTAGTCCCAAAGACTTGTTCCCTTAAGATGTTTGGTTATGGCTGAGAAGTTTTCATAACTTTGTCCCCTGTGTGCTCTACTGTATTCATGGATATATTTGCAGCATATGTAAATATGTATGTAGAAATGTCCTCTGTCAAACCTATATATATTCCTGAGTGTATTTTCATTTGCCTTGTCACACCTGTTCAGCTTGCATGTCTATAGATCCACTCACAGATTATTGTTATTACTGTTATTGCAGGATTGTGTTTGTAACCTTTGATGCCTTTAACTCATATGCTCCTCCCAGTGTCATCTTTGCCTTGATCACTTTTTGCTGACCTCTTCTTTAGTGTATATTGCCTTCCCCTTCACTGAAGTTAATATGTGTCTACCCTCTAGGTAGTGGTTTACCCTCCTTTCCCCTCTTATTCCTCATGTCCATCAAAGAATGTTTCTTTCTGTGTAAATCTTTTCTTGACTTTTTACAGTAATGATCTCATATAATATTTGTCCATTCATGATTGACTAATTTCACTCAGTATAATGTCCTCTAGGTTCATCCATGTTATGAGGTGTTTCACAGATTGATCATTATTCTTTAACATTGTGTAGTATTCTATTGTGTGGCTAATAGAGCTCTGGTAGCTTGTTGTTGTTGTTGTTATGTGCCGTCGAGTCGGCCCCGACTCATAGCGACCCCTCCTTGGGTTTCCGAGGCAGTATCACTACGGAAGTAGGATTGCCCAACCTTCCTTCCGAGGAGTGGCTGGTGGGTTTGAACCGCCAGCCGTCTGGTTAGCAGGCAAAGTGTCTTAGCCACTATGCTACCAGAGCTCTGGTAGCTTAGGCAAGAAAAATATTTTCCTGAAGGGGTACCCTTTTCCCCTTACTTGGCCTCCTTCCTCAACAGAACAACCTGTTGGTAGGATACCCTGACACTTTCTGTGATGTACGGTTAAGTGTTGCTTCCCTTATGATAAGAGTCAAAGTTTTCCTATTAAAGCATTTCTCAATCACTAACTACATTTCTTCTCCTCTGCTTTAGCATCTGTGGATCAACAGTGTTGTATCAGTTAAGTCAATAAGGGCTTGCCTTTTGAGATAGTTGCTCTTTCCCATTCATGTCTAAAAATCACTAGCCACTCAGGTTAGTGTTTCTCAAATTTTATGAGAATAGAAATTATTTGAAAGACCAAGTTTTTTTTTTAATGTCCAAATTATAATAGATCAGTGATGTTGTTATTGCTATTTGCCACTGAGTCAGCTCTAGTTCATAGTGACCTTATGTATAACAGAACATAAGGTTGTCCAGTCCCATGCCCTCGTCACAGTCACTGGTATGCCTGAGCTCCTTGGGTAGCCACCATGTCAGTCCGTCTCATGGAGCGTTTCCTTTGCTTGCACTGATCCTCTACTTTACCATGATGTCCTTTTGTGTGTGTGTGTGTGCGTGTGTGATTTGGGTGAAGATTTACAGAGCAAATTCACTTTCCATACAGCGGTTCACATACACTTTGTCTCATGACATTGACCACAGTTTACCACAATGCAACAGCTCCCCTCCCACTTCCTCCCCATAGTTACCTCTTCCCAGTGTCCATCCCTCCATGCACTCCTGCCCCCTGAGCTGTCTCCCTGTGCATAAGCAGCCCTTCTTTCTTCCATGATTGTTCTCTCCAAAGAGTCTATCTACCTGAGGTAAATGTTCAACTCATATGCCTGTATTTTGTTTGGCTGGAAACCACGGATGTGTGTTCAATTCTAGACCTGAAGGGCAGCTAGGGGCCATAGTCTCAATGGTTCCACCAGGCTCTATTGGACCAGCAAACCTGGTCCCCCCCCTTTTCTTTTCTCCAAATGATTTTGAGTTTTGTTCCACATTGTTCTCCCTCTCTATACCATGATGTCCTTTTCTGATGATGTGTCCAAAGTAAGCAAGTTGAAGTCTCTCCAGCTTCACTTCTAAGGAACATTTTGGTTGTATTTTTTCTATGACTGATTTGTTCATTCTTTTCACAGATCAATAAAAAATAAAATAAATATCAAATATTAGAAAAATGAAAATAAAATACATACAAAATAAAAGCCCTCAAGAGGAACCAAGAGTTAAAAAAAAAAAAAAAAGATCAAATCTCTTTTCATATTGATTCAGTTTTTAGTTCCGTAGCAACCCCCCCTCCCCATTTGCTGTTAAATTGATTCTGACTCATGGAATTGGAGAACCACTCCATGGGTTTTTGTTTTGTATTTTTACTGTAATCTTTACAGAAGTTGATCTCTAGGCCTTTCTTCTGCAGTGCTACTGGGTGGGTTCGAACTGCCAACTTTTAGGTTAGTAATCCAACACAAATCGCTTGTACCTCCCAGGAACCATCAGATTGCTATAAGACTTTCTGAGGGCTTACTCTGAAGTTCTGAACTTATCTTTCCACGGACCAGGCACATACAATTCATAGACCAGCACTTGTCTATTGACACAGTGAGAGTAGCACCCAATGGATGTCAAAGTGGTACTAAAAAATACAAAACGAAACAAAACAAAAACACTACAGTTTCATCCAAGGATATGTATCTTTTCTGGACATTTTTAGATTGTTTCCACCATGAGGTGCAAAATGAGAAAGGAGAGTGAGAAACAGACAGAGGATAAGAGAAAAGCCAACCATTTGAGCTCTCCAGGGAGACCTGCTCCATGGTTTCTACCCCAAAGCCAGTCTCTCCCCTCTTCGCCCCTGCACCTTAGTTCTCACAAAGCCCACAGAGCTGGACGCTCCTCCAGCATTCCTTGCAGCACTTCTCTGGACCGGAAAGAGCTCTGCCGACGAGTGCGGCGCTCTGTGGACCTGGAGCTGGAGAGATGCTGGCAGCAGGCAGGCTTCCCAGTGATCCAGGAGAAGGAGGAGCCTTTGCTCTTCACGGCAGAGGTAGACTCGGATGCTGGAGAGTTTCTGGAGCCCACGCAGGAGGAGTGGAAGCAGGTGGGTTGTGGCTAGACACTACTTCCTAGAATTTGGTTGCCATTCAAACCAAAGTCACTCCGGTGACTCATAGCAACCCCTCCTTGGGTTTCCCAGCCAGTATCACTATGGAAGTAGATTGCCTAGTCTTCCTTCCCAGGAGTGGCTAGTGGGTTTGAAGCTCCATCCTCCCGGTTAGCAGTCTGCCTTAGGCACTTGCACCTAGATGGCTGCTCACAAGCTTTTAAGATCCCAGTTGTTACTCACCAAATTAGGATGTAGACCATTTTCTCTGTGGACTCTGCTGTCCACGAAGAGCCACCAGAGCTCCCAAGGAAGAACAAAAATAATTTTTTATTTTTTTTTTTTAAGTGATCAAATACCCTTTTATGTCAATTCAGAATATGTTTTGGGGCTCCTCTTTCTCTCTCTTGCTCCCTGGGGTTAGAACACCCCATAAGGATATTAACAACAACAACAACAAAACCCACAATTGCTGTGGAGTCATTCCTGACTCATGGTGACTCCATGTGTGTCAGACTAGAACTGTACTGCATAGGGTTTCCAAATGGCTGATTTTTTTCTGAAGCAGAGCGCCAGGACTTACTTCTGCAGTGCCTCTGGGTGGACTCCAATATCCATCCTTTCAGTTAGCAGCTGAGCTCTTAACCATTTGCACTTCCCAGGGGCTCCAGAAAGATACAGCATTGCCTACTGACTCATGGGGTTGCTGGGAAGTGCAAATGGTTAACACACTTGGCTACTAACCAAAAGATTGGTGGTTTGAGTCCACCCCGAGGTGCTTCAGAAGAAAGTCCTGGTGATCTACTTCAGAAAAATGAATCTCTGGGTAGCACAAATGGTTGAGCTTGACTACTAACTGAAAGATTGGTGGTTCAAACCCACTCAGAGGCCCTCAAAAGACAGCCCTGGAGCTCTGCCTCCAAAAGGTCACAGCCTTGAAAACCCTATGGAGCAGTTCTACTCTGCACACGTGGGGTTGCCATGAGTCAGAATCAACTTGACAACAATTATTGTTTCTTGACAATAGGGTAGTGTCTAAATTGCTAGAAAAATTGCTCAGCTCTTTTGCAAATTCTTTAAAAGTTCTCAAATTACTTTAAGAAATAAAATGTCAGATTGTACTTCCCAGGACCACATGAATGTTTCATGAGACACTGTCATGCCAGTCCCCAGCACTGCTGGCTTTTCTGGGGCAAATGTGCCAGAGCCTAGAGTACTGACTGGGGTAACTAAAAGTTGCAACCAAAGCAGTTCCCTTTTTTTTTTTTTTTTTCCCCAAAAACCTGTTTTACTTATCGAGCTTACACATGAGATTTACCTTTAAGAAAGTATTCCACCATTTAACTAAAAAAGGAGAGAAAACAGTGTGGGGAGGAGAAACAACAAGGAACTGGGCAGAAAAAAACATCATCATCTGTCTGCCTCGTGCTCTTAAATTGCAGTTGGCAGTCACATCGCTTGAGTGTTATTCTGGGAAACGTTTTTTTCCTAACATAACATGCAGAACCTTTAGAAATGGAAGGGCAGTTGGATTATGTTAACTGTTCTTCTTTGCTTCTACCTACTTTGGATTTGTTGTTGTTGTTATGTACCGTAGAGTCGCACGCGACTCATAGTGACCCCTCCTTGGGTTTCCCAGGCAGTATCACTACGGAAGTAGATTGCCCCATCTTCCTTCCGAGGAGTGGCTGGTGGGTTTGAACCGCCAAACTTCTGGTTAGCAGTCAAGTGCCTTAGGCACTATGCTACCAGAGCTCCCTAACACATACATTGTTGTTGTTGTTGTTGTTATGTGCCGTCGAGTCAATCCCGACTCATAGCGACATACATAGTCATCAAAAAATGAGAGATCTCCCAAACTTTGATATAACCATTAACGTTTGTTGCTTTGGAACCATAATGAACTCTTTCTAAAGTTGCAAACGTTTTCCTTAGGCATTTGTGGTGGAGAGGGGAAGGAAGGCCTGGGGGGGGGGGTTGGTCCTGGACGAATGAGGACAGGAATTAATGGTTTATGAAAATGAGTAAGCTTCTGACGTGTAGCAAACGTTTTATAAAGTTTGGAAAATCTGCATCTCTTAAGAAATGGCAGACTCCCTCAACTTAAGACGAGCGGAGAGAACATGCTACTACTATAAACTAAATTACAAGGATGCGGGAAAGAAACTAAAACAAAAACATTAGGCTGCCCCTCCTTTGGGGACGGTCCAGGCAAAGGCACAATCTGGAGTTGAAGGTTAACGGGATGGAGGTTAGCGGCACGCTGAGGTGGGTGGGGCCAGGGCAGGGACATGATCCCGAAGAGTGGGGCGACTGCAGGCGGCAGGGCATAGGACCCGGGCAGCTGCGCGGACGACTCTCCCTTGTCTCGCGTCCACTCACCAGGCCAGGCCCAGACATGTCCCCAGCGACAGCAGGCTCAGGCCTGTCCGGGGGTCCGCCCAGCCCCTGCCCCCACCGCCCCGGGCATCGGGGCACTTCCCGCCCTCGCTCCACTTCTGGGGCTCCGAGGACGCTGCCCAGGGCGCCGACTTCTTCCGGCTCTTCACCTCGAACATGTCTGCGGGCCCTGAGGGAGACAAACCCGAGACGGGGTGGTTTCTTCACCCTGAGGGAACGGGACGTGGCCACTTTTGCCTCCTCCCGAAGCTGCGGATTTGTTGTTGTTGTTGTTGTTATGTGCCTTCCAGTCGGACCCGACTCATAGCGACTCCTTCTTGAGTTTCCGAGGCAGTATCACTACGGAAGTAGATTGCCCCATCTTTCTTCCGGGGAGTGGCTGGTGGGTTTGAACCGCCAGCCTTCTGGTTAGCAGTCAAGTGCCTTAGACACTATGCTACCAGAGCTCCCAAATTCAGATTTCTTCAGTTGCAAGGAACTGAAACTAATTAAACTGGCTAATGGAGCTCTGGTAGTAGGTGACTAAGGCACTTGACTGCTAACCAGAAGGCTGGCGGTTCAAACCCACCAGCCACTGCTCGGAAGGAAGATGGGGCAATCTACTTCCGTAGTGATACTGCCTTGGAAACCCAAGAAGGGGTCGCTATGAGTCAGGTCTGACTCAACGGCACATAACAACAACAATGCAAAAAAAAAAAAAAAAGGAACCCTGGTGGCACTGCAGTTAGGCAGTTAAATATTCAGCCACTAACTGAAAGGTGGGCAGTTTGAAACCACTCAGCAGGTCTGCTCCCATAACCCTAGAAAACCTAACCCTAGAAAACCTAATGGGTTAGCTCTACTCTGTCTCAAAGGATTACTATGAATTGAAAATAGACTCAGTGGCACCAAACAACAAGAAGCAAAAAGGCATAAAAACAAAAACAACCTAGAAAACAGTGACAAAATAACAATTTATTGGCTCATAGAGCTGGAAAGTCCAGGGGCAGTTCAGCTTTAGGCGTGACTTGGGTCTTGATTGACGCATAAGAATTCAGTCTTTCTCTGCTTCTCAGTTCTGCCCTTGTCTCTGTTTACTTCCTTCCCAGGCCATCTGTCCTGAGGTAGAGATTTTGTAGCATCTCCAGGCTTACTGCCTAGCAGTTCAGCAGCCCCAGCAGGCCTCTTCCCCAAAAGTTTCAGCAAAATGCTAGAAATGGAAAGTCATTGGATTGGCAAGGGTCATATGCCCATCTTTGAACCACTGTAGCCAAAGGAATAAGATGCTCTGCTTGCCCAGGCCTGGGTTATAGACCCACCTCCAAGGATGACCTATCCTTACTTGAATAGCATAGATTGATAATAGGGTGAGATATTTCCCTGAAGAAAATTGAAATTTTATTTTATATAAAAATGGATAGCAAAATAAATAAGCAAACAAAAATAAAGACTCCGCCTTTTAATGTTAGTTGAGAAAATCCCTGGAAATGGATCTAATGGGCTAGGCTTGGCCGTTTGCCTGCCCCATGTCCAATCATTGTGTCTTCCTGTAACCCATTGCCATAGAAT